CGGTAATTATAGGCTAAGGGGGAATACTTTAAAGGCTACCGATAAATAGGCTATTAGTAGGAGGTAAGTAGTAATTAGGCTAATAAGTAATAAGTGCTCGCCTATAGATAGGTATATACATATAAGTTTAATAAGGAGGGAACCCTCCTTAAGTATAAGGCACGCCTTATAGTGTAAGGGGATTAATAAAAACAGTTAGAAACTAAAGATAACTACACCGCCACGTTAGCCTCGTAGTCCTTCCGTATACTAATAGCTATCGCCGCCCGATTTAACTAGAGATAAAGTAGTTCGACGCCATTAATACGTTCGTTAATACTAGCCTTAAAGAAAAAGTATTTATCAAGATACCTTAAGGCTACGAAGTACTAGGTAAGGTCCTACTACTACGGAAAGCCCTCTTCGGATTAAGGGTATTACCACTACTATAATAAGAGGAATTCAGCGGTATACTATAGAAGATAGGATTCACGGCTATCTCTAATAACCCCTATATTATAATCCGCGATACTACGTCGACGATATCGGACTTATCTACTATAAAGACTATAAGACTAACGCCGATAACCTCAAGGCTACCCTTAAGGGAAGCTATAGGTTATTAGGAGGTAATAAAATCCGTTAGTTCCTAGGGATTAAGGTCCTATTATCTATAAAGCCGTTAATACTATACGACGGCACACGCGCGTTAATTCCCGAGGTCCGCTAGTATCAGGGTATAATAGGTTTAATCCTATATACCGCTATTATAATAAGACCCGATATCGTCTTCGTCTATTTAAAGCTTTCCTAATATAATATTAACCCCTCCTCTAATCACCTTAAAAGGGCTTAATAAATGCTATAGTTCTTATAGTATACGAGGCACCACTATCTAGAATTCGGTAAGGATAGACTTTTCCTACCCGTAAATAATATATCCTTCGGGGATAATCTAAACCGTAAAAGCTCCTAAGGATACACGATAAAGCTCTTTAGCGGCACTATTAACTAAAAGGCGGGTAAGTAACCGATAGTTACGATATGGTTAACCGAGTTAGAATTACTCGCTCTTATATAAGCCGCTAAGGAGATATTATTCGTTAGTCGGATATTAAGAGATTTAAAGCTTCGGTTAGATTAATAATAACTATAGCTATAGTACGATAATTAGCAGACTATTAACCTCGTTAATAATAAGGCATAACGCCTACGAATAAGGCTACGGCACGTTAATATTTATAACTAGTAAGCACGCTAGTTAGTATAGCATGGCCTTGTTAAGGTTATATACGTTAATATAAAGGATATAATCGCGGACGGTTTAACGAAGGTATTACCAGAGGCAGGGATTTAAAGACTATAGTAATAGCTTAATTTAACGGATTAAAAGGATTATATCGAGTAGTTAAAATAACTGCACGAAGAGATTAAACGCGCTAAAGCCGCGGCCGTAATAACGCTAAAGGCCCCCGAGGGCGTAGCAGATCTGATAAATATAGATCCGATTAAGTAGATCCGGCTAATCAGGCTTACGGAACCGATTAAGATAGAATCAAATTAAACGGTTAAATAGACCGGATTTAGATCTCTATTACGAGGGCGTTTTCCCCTTAACTCTTAATTTTACGATAGAAAGGTTATAAGCTTTTAGTTTAAACCGAAGCCTCTAATTAGTTAGTTTAACCTAGGAAGACCCACCTTAACTAAGGGGGTGTGTTGTATAGGCACACGGACTACGACGTAGTCCCTAGGGGATCTATACCTAACTAAGGGCTTCGGATCTCGGGGACCTCTGGTATTAAGGATATAATAAGGGAGGATACCGGAAAAGACCGGATAGGATCCAAATAATATAGTACCCATAACAGAGTCTTCACTATCTAAACTCAGGGCATAAGAGACTTTTATAGATATAACTTAATATAATACACATAGACGAGATTTCTGCTTTATTAAGTTAATTATATAAGTGTTATTTTAATATACGATACTATATCGGCCCTGTAGCAGTATTACTCTAACTAAGGATAAGTATAGAGGTTTTCTCCAGATTCCAGGGTTTTGCCCTTTATAGCTATCCGGGAAGGACCGTATAGTTTAAATTAGGCTCTTATACATTAGATAGGATAGCAGAGTAAGAATAATAATAATAATAATAATAATAATAATAATAATAATAATAATAATAATAATAATAATAATAATAATAATAATAATAATAATAATAATAATAAAAATAGCTATACTAAAGAAAAACAAAAAGAAAAATAAACGACTATACCCTAAGAATAAGGGTTATTAATATTAGGTTAGGGGCTAGTAATAAGGTAGGCAGGATATAGCGATAGTATATTACTCCTTAGCTTAGCTATTACCCTTACTATTAGGCCCCTTCCCCGCGCTACTACCACGACTATTTAACTACTCTAAAACCGTGACTATACGCGTTTATAGTTCCGACTATAGAGTAACCTGCTTGTAAAGCCTAATAACCCTATCGCGAGTTTAGCGTATAAGCGCCTTTAGGCTAACAGGGAGGGGTAAAATAGAAAGGCTAATAATAAAGGGGGGCGTAAGGGTAGTTTAATACGATACCCGAGTATAAAGAGTAATAATAGCGGGAGTAAGTAACTCGCCGAGTATACTATAAAAGTCGTTATATACGACTTAGAAGGTAGTATTCTAGCTAGTACTAAGTTAGTACCGAAACGGATATAAACTCGTAGTATTATTAACCTATTTCTTTATGATCTTTATTATCTTAAAAGGCCTGGCTAATAGCTACTAATATCGTAAAGAATAGCGCGGTAACGGGAGTGAGCTAGGATACTACGTATTAATCGCCTCGCACTTATATATTAGTAGCAAATAAGATATAACTTATAGGAGTATAAGTATAAGTGCTTACGGAATACTCGTAATACTTAGCGTTTTTATAAGCGGTACTAGGGCTAGACTAACTATAGTAGATTTAGTTAAAATAGCCGTGAGCGATATACGACGTATAAGGGAGGTAGGGAGGAGTTTCGTAGTGAGCGGGAGGATACTTAAGACTATAAGCTTACTTAGGAGGAGGATCGCCCTAAAAATAACTTAGTAAAAAGGATATAATAATACTATAGTATAAAAGCTTATATTAAATAAAAGAGTAGCCGCGATACGAGTATAGACTTATTTACGGGGGGAGTAGGCCCGTTTTTTACTATTATCTTTATCTTTATTATTAGTATTAGTATTATTATCGTAGTTATTAGCGATATATTCGTAGTTATTAATTATTATATTATTATTAGTTATTAATAATCCGGGGACTAAATTACTAATATAAGCAGAGGCCTCCTATAAGACTCGATAAGTATAGTTTAGGGTCTTCTTAATAAAGGACGTAGCGCGGGGATTAAAAACATTATTACCTTTAAAAGAACGTATCTAATACCGCAGTTAGATATTAGCGAACATGGTATAACTATTAGGATATACCTTAGCTATAAATAAAGGAGATAGCGGATAGTTATTGATAATTATGGGAAAAGGAACTAGACAGAAAGCTCGGGGACTATATAAGGTTAGCTCAGACCTCGCCCCGGGGGAATAGCGTATCGACTCGACCTATATTAATAGAAAACTTAGTAGCTTAAAGGAAGGAAAAAGAGGAAGAGGATCTACGAGGAATAGGCTGCCCTTTATAAAAAGGAGCCGGGGGGGATAAACTACCCTAAGGGAGGCCTATAGTAGAATAAAAGTAGGTATACGCCCGTATATTTAGGGCCTTATACCTCCCTTAAGCTGATTTCTTTATATAAGTCCTCTGCTAAGGAGGGCTAGGAATAAGCGAGGAGCTCACAAAAACGGGTTACGCGCTTACCTTTATAGCTGTTACGATAATACGATAATAGGAAGTCGGGAAAGTAAATAAGGGTCCTTAACGCTATGCCTGCTATTATACGTAGTAAGTTAAGCGGGAAGAACGACTTCGTCGCATATACTTAATAAAGACTAAGCGGACTAATTATAAGGTCCCCCTTATAACGATTAAGGTAACGTTATAGCCCTAAGCAGTAACGTGATTTAGGGGTAAGGGTAGAAGTAAGGTAAGATAAGAGTAAGGGGATTCTAAGGCACGCACGGAGCGCGTGACCTTAGCGATCCCCTTAAAACCCCCCCGCGAGAGAGAAGGGAGGGGGGTAGTATTATAGGCTAATCCTATTAGCTAGGATCCTGGCCTTACTAAGCCGGGACACCGTATAGACCTCTTACAGATTAGGCAGCTAATATATAGCTACTCCTAGTAAGATAGACTTTTCACCTTTTCCTTCTCCCTGCCTTAGTTCTAGATACTATAACTATTCGGCCTCACTTATTAGCTTAGACTCGTGACCAGCCGTTTATAGTTATTAGAGTCCTCTTCGGGTAAGGTAGGCCGTACTAATTTTAGGCGGGTTTTTTCCTGAACTTCGGGGTTGATATACTACTATACTTTATACTATATCGCGATTACTCGTACGCTATTAATCTATAGTTTTTAATCCTTAGGCTTTTAAAGGATATTTAACGCGGGGTGCTCCTTAATATCTATTATAGTTTCGGAGGCTTTATAGTATAGTATAGTATAGTATAGAGTAGGTAATAAACAGAATAATAATATAACTATAGAGTAGGCAGACGTTACCGTTAAATAACCCTAAATCGTAATAGGTATCGAAAACAGTAATACTATTAGATCTTCCGAAAATAGGATTGTTTTTTAGAGCGCCGGGCTTATAACTATTAGTATATAAATAAAGTATATAAAAGATATATATATTTATCCAAGTAAAGTTCGTGGTACTTCACGGGGATATCTAACTATAAGGGAAAAGGAGGGGATATAACTATGGATATATCGGAACGAGGTACTCTACTCGTCTAACATAATATGGTTTGTCATACCTCGATAAGGTGGCTGTGGGCATCTGACAAATATCAGTCGGGGTGGTTGCTATCGCGCAACCTCCGCTCTTCCTATCACCGAAGCCCATCGCCTTGTTTGCTCCGGACGGTATCGAGCATGGTCCCAGAACCGATATCGTCACGACACGTGTCAGAACACGAATATCGGTACGGGAATCGTGGTCGTATTCTTCTATGGAAGGGAAAGATTCCCTTGTAGGAAGTATCTGCGACTATTTATACAACCGAGGTTAGGGCTGTTTGGAGTCGTTAGTACTTGCTAAGACTGCACCCGAACTGTACCCGAAAAGACCCCGAAGTCACGCCCCGATATCCTGGAGCCTCTATCTGACAACACGATTCTCTACCGTCCCTCGCTACATAAATGCGAGATGCACAGAATAGCTAGCTAAGTCTTGCTCGGATATTACGCCTAAATACCCCTAGCCATACCAAACTTAAAACTTATGGGACCGTTTCCTTCGACCACTTTGACCTACCTTAACCAGAGGCATACGAGAGCTCATCATGGGGGTTGAGCACATTGCACAATCGGGCCCAAACTGGACTGCCTCGAGATGTCGCCGATTGTTACGTCCATTACAGGCCCGGGCCACTGCATTACGAAAAGATTTACGAGGAAATGCAGGTCGGACTTCATCGACATTCTTCCCCCAGTCCATGGCAGGAAAGCAAACGAAGCGGACAGAGGAGGAAACGGGCCATGGAGTTGAACGAAAAAAGCCACGGCGCACCTATTCTCAGAAGCAGACCTCAAGTGATGCTCCAGAAACGAGACCCGCTGGCTCGCTAGTCACATCCCCGGCTGCCCCAAAACAAACAATTTACCAGCCTACACGGAGCACGCAGGATAGCACTACGTGTCATGAACACCAACGGCAACCCGGTTTCCGGGAAAAACATACTCTTTTGACAAACATAAACCGAACTGACGCGCTGGAACATTCTCTCCGTTCGCTTCGATGCGCACAGCAGCTATGGCCAGAATCACGTTTCCAGATCTATGAGGGAATGTTACGCGATTTGGATGCCATTATCAAAGCAACGGATACGAGAAACCCAACGTCCAACCCGAAGTCGCTTTTGTCCATGTGCCTCCGCAAGGTGCCCGTGTACATTGGGAGGCAGGAAGCTCGGGATGAGTCTACACTCGCAAAGGATGGTTTCAAACCGCTCTTCGGGCGTAGTGTCTCTATCCAAATCTTTGACGAGCTCGAACAGTTCGGACATGGACGGAGAGGATGGGCGCATTTACCCACCTTGACCAGGGCAAATGCCCTGTGGATGATGAAACAAGCGACAATTGAAGGCCTGCTCGAGCCCCATTTTGCCTGCATATTGATTCAATACTGCAATGGCGCGGGCTGTCAGCTCGAGGCTATGGATCTCTTCCGTGAGATCCTGAGTCAACACGAGCATGCCCGCCAAGACACCAGCGCATATCGTGATGTGAGCCAACTATTGCGAACTGTATCCACCTTGCTCGAAGGTAGCGAGCTGCAAGGTACGGATCTGCGGCTGCTCCACGGCGTTGCGCCTCTTGTACCGGAGAAACAACTCTTTGTGAAGGGGTTATCATCCGAAGCTCTAGGACGCTTGTGGACCTGGGTACTTGAATCGATACAAGACCCCGCTGACAGTGTTGGGGCACTGGAGTTTGCGTCCGCTGCCATCGCATCGCTCTTCTCATCCTTTTCAAAGCATCTCGCACAACAGAGTGCAAGTGGTATGGTACAGGGGGTTCTGGAACCAGTACCCATGAACATCGTGGGTGCTGTAGTCGCCTTGTCCTTCTCGACGTCCCGGGAGGCCAGGAATTCCACGCACATAAGCACGGCAATATCCCAGGGGAAGGTGCGTTATATTCTGCGCAATGCTTTCAACGTACTGGGCAGAGCAGGAGCTAGTAAGATTGCTCGCTATGTGTTGGCCCTTGCTCTTTTTGTCGCCAGCTTCTCGTCTTCCTCCTATCAGGACAGAGAATTTCAGGCCAAGGCACTGAAATCGTCTTGGCGGGAGCATGCAAGAGCAAACCAGTTAAGTCAAGACGCATATTTCTATAGTCTGACAGCGGCCCTCGGATGCTCGATAGCACAATATTCCGGAAGGGCAGCCTCTATTCCGTCCAGTTCCTACTTCTCAGAATTCTGTGATCGACTCGATACTCTCCAAGTGCAAGCACTGAGTAGCCTACGGAAAGAGGGGGCCTTTTTGCTGGCCCAAAGAACGCATGATCTCAGGGACCTGGCCTTTGCAGAGGCACTCAGCGAAAGTACAGAAAGAAACCCGGCTCGGATCACTTCGCCGCCGGAGAGCAACAGGTGTCTGTTGTCGTCGTCTTTCACTGGATACCGATGGGAAGACGGGATAAGTGAATGGGTCACCGTGACCCCTTTAAAAAAGAGGTCAACAGGCCGGAGGACAGACACCTGAGAATCCGTGCTAGGATGGATAGCATGTACAGTTCTAGTAATTGGATTTCTCTTGATGAGAAGGAAGATGGCCCTTGCAACCGTAAATGACAACTGTGACGGGTCGCTTCAGATGAGTGACGTGGTCAAAACGCAGTGTTAGGCTATATGCCGAGGGTGATCATGATACTATCTGCATGCATACTACACCAATGTACAATTTAAACGACTTGTATACAAAGCCTAGGTTGGCAAGTGGTAGACCAAAACCAAAGGCCTGGTGTTAATACAATATATACAGCACTGAAAGGCGCTTTGGGCTTGTCTGAAAGCGATGAATCGCTCCCTATACACGCAATGTGAAGTGCATCGTATATGTTGCTGCCCATTGAAATTCTTGAGTCTCGCCGGGACAGTTGCACGCAAAGCTACTGCAATCGAGAATGCGGGATGGAGATCGGAGCAAATCAGGCCAAAGTAGTTTTACCAGGAGAAGGCCTCCTCGACGAAATCAACTTTGCCGTCGTACTGGCGTTTGCGAACAGCGCGCCGCACGTCATCACTGAGAACCCCTGGCCCGCACACCGTTACACCCATGGCCCCAATCTGCTGCTCAACCTCGGTCGCTAAGAGAGTGTCGATATTAGGCCGACCAGGAAACATCTGCACCGTTGCAGAGGGGCTGTGGATCTCCTTGCTCGACCGAGGCCGGCTCACGAAGAGCATGATGCGTAGAACGTCCCTACGTTTCGGCAGGGCGAGGATCTTCGTCATCCAGGGACGGATCCACTCGAGATGTTCAGGGGTTTGAATGACCCAGACCAAAATGACTCGCCTGGTCGCCACGGTCTCATTGGCGTATCCAATGACTAGGTCCCTGACGTGCGGGACTGCTTGGGTAATGCCAACACCGCCTGCAATGAGCATTACAGTGCCATACGACCGCATGTCATGCAGTTGACCATATGGCCCTTCGACGAAGCATGTTGTCTGCATTTGGCCTCGAGGGCAAGCTACAGCTTTCTGGTAGAGTTTGTTGGTGAACCCCGTCCTCCCCCGGATAATGAATGAGATGGTCGTTCTGCACTTCTCCGAGGTGCGTCGATGATTTACGGCCAGTTTCTCCAGTGCATCATCCTCGGTCTCTTCGCTCCAAGCCACGGAGAAGGGGTGCGATTGCCAGAGGCCGATGGACGGGATGTATATATACGCATGCTGCGCAGGCTTGACGACCCACGGCCTCGCCATTGACAGAGTCACTCGTACTGCGTTGCCGGGAAGTGCCTCCACCAGGGCTCGGCTACCCCCTGTGCCGACGTTGGTGTATAACAGTCGGACCACACGCCATAGCCGATCTGTGGCCCAAAGGACGATGGCGGCTATCAAGTACGGGAGCTGCGGGAGATCCTTCAGACTCAGATGATACCAAGTACCGATGACAGCCAGGATGGCCAGGCCAATGTGGAGCAGCTTGAACATCTCGTAGAAGCCATGGCGGATGGGGCTCCAAGCTTGAATGAAAATTGCTATGAATCCGCAGGTGCCCTAAGTCTTGTGAGTATAGGTTCATGATTCATGACAACGAGAGGGCCAGCCGGCAGGGGAAAAAAGACGAAAAAAAAGCGCCTTACAAGAAACCCCCAGAACATGTACTCGACTCTGAAGACAGTCTCGAACCCGGCCTTAAGGCTATCTTCATGCGCCTTGGAGACAAGGAAGGCCGTAGTATGGGCAACGGCCTCGAGAACAACAATACGTCCGAACCAGCGATGAAGCAGGTTGAACGTGTCGAAGGAAACGCCCAGCAATCCGATAAGGGGGTTATTTCGAGCCGCCATGAGAAAAAGAGGTATCTGCATGGTTAATAGGAAAAAAATGAACAAGGAGCACTTGAGAAAGAAGGAAGAGGGGGGGGCGACAGAGAACATACCATGTTCGCGACGGCTAATACCCCTGTTCTGTTTCGGAATCTCCTCACTGCATCGTCAAATGTAGCTGCAAAAGGGATGTCGACGACGGAGAAAGCCACGTTTGAGGCAAAGTACGCGACAAGAAATATGAGCTGAAGGCGCGTCGGCAATGTGCCCATGTTGATGGCGCTACTCAGCTGGAACTCGCGGTTGTGTCGCCTGCTGAAAATGGGGGCGTACAGAATGTTCTTCTTGAAAAACGACAGTTTGCAGGACTCTGCAGTGAAGTAACGCTGCGACTCGTTGCTCAGGCAAGCCATGGAACGGACGAACTTGAAGATTTGAGTCGATAATCTCCACGTAATGAGAATGATAGAAACTCCGGCGACGATAAAATAGAGGTATCTGGTGAGGGACTCGTTGATCGCGGATGCTGCGGCCTTGGCCGCGATGGCCTCGGGAGAGTCTCTCGCGGCGGGGGGCATGATATGCTGCTCCCCGTCGCCCAGTTGAGTTGTCCTTCGAATGTTTGCGTCCAACTGACAAACCTAGGCCGAAGCGGGTGATTCGCGACCAGGAGCACGATATTTGAGAAGGGAAGGTGTAGTGTGCGACCAGAACATAGCTGTCCAACCCGTGGAATTGGCGACGATAATAATCAGATCAAAGAAAGGTGCCCATGGCAAACCAGGCCATCACCTCTTGTTGGAACGAGAACGAGAGTGAAGAAGTGATGATATTTGCCGGCACCATCTGCTTCGTAAAGAACGTGAAGCGAATAGAAGTGTGCTGATCAGGCGAAAGAACGAGAACAACTCGATTCAGAGGTACGACGCCACGAGATAAATGGGGGGTTAAGAAAAAGTCGACCTTCCACCCTGTCCCTATGCAGGCCAATGCCGCGACACGATCGGAGTGTGAATGTGGGTAGAGGCATTTAGGAAATGATTGGAGAGAGCCTCAGACGCCAGGTACCGGGAGTTATGGAGGGCAGGGCGACGGGGTTGTTGTCAATTTCAGGATATTAAGATGTCGATCGGCCTGACTGTTTCACCTGTTCGGTTTTGGACCGCTTGACTCGCAAAAGTCGGGTACACACGACTGTACCCACCTAATTAACCTGTTACGCGCTGTAAGCCACCAGACATACCCCGGCAGTTAATCATCCATTCCTCAATACTGCTGCGCCCTTATCCTGGTCAGAATCTCCAACCTCCTGCTCCGTAACCAGCCGACGGCTCCTTGCCTCTGGTTCCTCTCCCACCTGATCGGGGGCTGATGGGAAGTTGAGATGCTTCCAGTCCTCAAGCTCCTCCGTAACAGACCTCAGTCTATCCCTGATGCTCTCAATAGCATAGCTCCCAAGCAGCAGACGCAGAGGAGGATAGGAACAGTGAGCAAGCTGCCACACGAGTTCCGCACACTTGACTGCGCTCGTCGGCTGGCGATCTCCAAGCCACTGTACCATCCTTTTGGCGTGTAGAGCAGGCGACGTGGCCTGTGCATACGGCTCGCTGGCCGGCTTGATCAAGAAGTGACCCCAGGTAGGAAGAGGGTTAACTAAGCTGTCAGGCTCGTCCCGCCGAACAAGGCCGGGCTCGACAAGCGTAGCTTTCACATTAAAAGAATCTGTCTCGTACAGCATAGCTTCGATGAGGCCCTCCACCGCGTACTTGGTCGCACAATAAGGACCGAGACCAGGCACACCCAGGGCGCCAGACGTGGAGCTGAAGATGAGATACCGACCGCCATTCTGCTTGCGGAAGTAGGGAAGGCTGGCCTGGATAATGTTCAACGTACCCATGTAGTTGGTCTCGAATTGATTGCGGACCTCGTGCTCATCCTGGTCCTCGCATGCACCAATGACGCCGTACCCGGAACAGTTGGCAATGACATCGATTCGGCCGAAACGAGCAAGGGCGCTCTCGATAACACCGGCAACAGATTCGGCGACTCTTACATCGCACAGGGTGCCCAAATAGTTGTCGCCTTGGGTAGCATCTCTCATCTCCTTGGGTGTGGTCTCGAATGTCCTTCCGACGGACGTGACAGATTCTCCACGGGACATCGCGCATTTAACGAGAGACCGCCCCATGTGTCCTGTACCTCCGAAGACCTAAGAGTGGCCTGATCAACCATCTGACCCTTTCCATCTTGCTGTGCCAGGAATTTCTGCCCGGGGCGGGGATTTACATGCACATACTATCCAAACAAGCCGTCTCCGAGGTTGTTCGGGGTGAGGCGGATCGCAGCTAGCAGGCAAGTAGAGTCTAGGTCTGGGAGCGACGTCGGCCCCGGAGGCTCCCGTGCCATCAGGGTTGTGACCCCTGGTGTCCATGTTTTGTCAGATACAGCGTAACTGGACCCGTCAAATAGGGTCAAAATTAAGGGGTTGGAATCGTAGATTGATTAAGACGATTATTGTCGTAGAGGTTACAGATAAACTGATATTGAAGACTGTGGCTAAGCTGATAGTAGGTGTGGGTCCGAGTGGGGCGAAAAGTTGAGCTGAGGGTTGCTATGGGGCTATTCATTAAGGTCACGTGACTAAGGATCTTAGGTAACCACCCTTATAATAGGTAGGAGAA